GCAGGGAGCAGGACGTCAACCTCTCCACAAGTCCACGGACAATCATGGAACACGTGTAGCAGCCAAACTGCGGAGAAAACACGTTACCGCCGTCCGGACTTTCACCAAGGAACTCTCACATACGATAAGTTCCTTTTTGACTTGCTCCCATTTCGCATTGTATTCAATTTTATGTGTCGCAACCACGTTAAAAACTTCTATTAGTGCATACACCTAATTTGTATGTGGATATCGTCACTTGTGCACTAATAAGATAATGTGAGGCGTCTTCAACTTTTTGACCATCAATACCTCAGAAACGTTGCCGGTTTTGGATAGCGTCAATGGATTAGTAACGAGGCGATTAGAAAACAGGTATTTGGTTGTGCGCCAAATACTCCAATCACGGACTACGATGGCTCGGTCATGTGCCACGCACGTCGAAACACCGTCTACTGAAACAAATGTTCCCCGTGTCGCCTAGAGAGTGACGTAACCGCGAGGTGGACATCGTATGACTAAGCAGAGGAGCCTGCAAGTGATCACGAAGAATTTGGATGTTGTTGGTGTTGTACGTCTTCCAGCATGGGGTCCCCACACCATCTGTGCTTGGCTAGAGAGGTTGCAAGGAATGACGGCTAATCAATGTCACTTGAGTTCGTGCTGTCAGTTGGAGGTTTACGCACCTCAGAATGCATGACATAGGTTAGCACTAGGACCCCTTCCACCCATGCTTTTTCTCTACTTTTCACTTTGGGGCTTTGAATATAATTAGATGAACCTTATAGTTGTATGGCAGTGAAGCATCATTGTCAACACTGATGTTGCTGTTTTTGATGATGATTGGTGATTGATAATGAGCGCGCAGCGATCAGGCATTGGTAGACAAATTCGTATAGTACCTCAATCGCCTCATCTGCAAGCTTGAGTGTAGGGTTCTAGTCTTGCGGTAACACTTTGGAATTCGCTGGTTTGGGGCGTATGCCAAGCCACGAGGCAGAATGGTTTAGATCATTTCTACTGTTTACATTACGACGCCTCAAGAAGAGCTATGTCGTCTTCGAACTCAATATTTATGGACGGATGCCCTGTTAGTATTTCGATCCCACAGGCATTGAAGGTTCGTAATTTGTGTTCCATAATAGTATCAGAGACGAGGCTGCAGAGGAAAGATAAAAGAATAACCTTGCCTGACATCATTTACGTAGTGAGTTCAGGTGAGAGCTTCCCACACACCTTCACCTATCTGCGGGAGTAGGCAATTAGCGCCTTAAGGAAGGTCAAAAATTTACGGGGGATACTTTTGTGCCATATACGCTGCCATATTGCCTGATGTTCAACAGAGTCAAAGTCAGCTTTCGGTTCAGGAAACAACCATTGTTGGTTGGTGGAAGCAGTGTCGTTCTTCCAAAACTTGTTGGAGGCTGAAAATTCGGTGGATTCATCCTCTTGCAGGACGGAACATAGCTTAGTTTTCACGGATCTTTCTCTCCCTGTGTTCAATCAACCTTCGAAGGATAAGACCAGGAAGCACCTTCCATGCCACAGCTACCAGAGTGAGGCATATCAGGCAGGCATAGTGTTAACTGGAGCCTCAACGAGTTTTTTATTTATGGATTAGTAACGAGGCGATTAGAAAACAGGTATTTGGTTGTGCGCCAAATACTCCAATCACGGACTACGATGGCTCGGTCATGTGCCACGCACGTCGAAACACCGTCTACTGAAACAAATGTTCCCCGTGTCGCCTAGAGAGTGACGTAACCGCGAGGTGGACATCGTATGACTAAGCAGAGGAGCCTGCAAGTGATCACGAAGAATTTGGATGTTGTTGGTGTTGTACGTCTTCCAGCATGGGGTCCCCACACCATCTGTGCTTGGCTAGAGAGGTTGCAAGGAATGACGGCTAATCAATGTCACTTGAGTTCGTGCTGTCAGTTGGAGGTTTACGCACCTCAGAATGCATGACATAGGTTAGCACTAGGACCCCTTCCACCCATGCTTTTTCTCTACTTTTCACTTTGGGGCTTTGAATATAATTAGATGAACCTTATAGTTGTATGGCAGTGAAGCATCATTGTCAACACTGATGTTGCTGTTTTTGATGATGATTGGTGATTGATAATGAGCGCGCAGCGATCAGGCATTGGTAGACAAATTCGTATAGTACCTCAATCGCCTCATCTGCAAGCTTGAGTGTAGGGTTCTAGTCTTGCGGTAACACTTTGGAATTCGCTGGTTTGGGGCGTATGCCAAGCCACGAGGCAGAATGGTTTAGATCATTTCTACTGTTTACATTACGACGCCTCAAGAAGAGCTATGTCGTCTTCGAACTCAATATTTATGGACGGATGCCCTGTTAGTATTTCGATCCCACAGGCATTGAAGGTTCGTAATTTGTGTTCCATAATAGTATCAGAGACGAGGCTGCAGAGGAAAGATAAAAGAATAACCTTGCCTGACATCATTTACGTAGTGAGTTCAGGTGAGAGCTTCCCACACACCTTCACCTATCTGCGGGAGTAGGCAATTAGCGCCTTAAGGAAGGTCAAAAATTTACGGGGGATACTTTTGTGCCATATACGCTGCCATATTGCCTGATGTTCAACAGAGTCAAAGTCAGCTTTCGGTTCAGGAAACAACCATTGTTGGTTGGTGGAAGCAGTGTCGTTCTTCCAAAACTTGTTGGAGGCTGAAAATTCGGTGGATTCATCCTCTTGCAGGACGGAACATAGCTTAGTTTTCACGGATCTTTCTCTCCCTGTGTTCAATCAACCTTCGAAGGATAAGACCAGGAAGCACCTTCCATGCCACAGCTACCAGACTGAGGCATATCAGGCAGGCATAGTGTTAACTGGAGCCTCAACGAGTTTTTTATTTATGATGCTCTTTAACGAATGTATTGCTGCCGCCTCATGTTTTGGTTGGCACGGTATTCGAGGTGTATCGGTATGTTTTTTGACACAACCTTATGAGTATTGTGTCATGTCAAAAAATATACAGAGATATTGTTGGTCGTGTGAGGAGATTTGGGGATTCTTTCAATGAAGATTTCGTTCTGTAAGTGACACTAGCTTGTGCTGGAAAACTGAGAAGCATTGAACAGCTGTTCCATTCTTATTGGGAATCGTCAGCAGTCCGCATCTCACGACGCTCCCATAATAAGTCTCGAACCGGCCGCTAGTATCTGGTCAGCAGTGCGATGTACTCGCACTTAGGCCTAATCAGGTTGGTAATCTGCCAGATTGTATCGAGATATTCGTAATGACATCGGTGGCCAAACCATTGGTGGGTAATCATTCTCTTTTACGGCTTCCTTCTCCTTGAGGATTAGTTGGTCTGTTAAGTGTCTGGAATCGCGGCCGCACAAGCTTGGTAATCGGTGAGAAGGTTTTTGCAAAAGTGGATATAAAGCTATCCCTAATGGTGCGGACCGTAGCCGGCCTACAGATCCGGGCATCTAACGTTTTGCTTTTTGGTATCGAATCAAGTCTTTCCTGACCAACTGAGCGACAGTATCATTCTTGACACGGTTTTTGAGTAGGGTCAGTCCTAATACCGTTGGTATTTGGTCAGTGAAGAACGTTTGCGTGCCATCCCAGCAGGTTTTTTGGATTAGTCGGTCGATTTGGTGGGTATCGATTGCCGACCTCCAGTTGATTCATCTCATCAGTAGTTAGTAGGTGGCGTTGTGCCGTTCAGCCTATCTGTAAAATCTATATCCACTCCCTTGTAAACGTCCTTTAGTGGGGTTCGAACCCGTCTGTTTTGCTTCATAGTACTAACAATCTGTTGTTTGCGAATTTCAACTACTATAACAATTCATTTTTCCTCGTCCAGAAACTCTGTACTGTACGGCTATTCCCGACGTAGTCAATCAGATCTGGGCCTATCAACGTGGGGTGCCGGATTGCACTGCAACCAAATTCAGAGTAAGTTCTTTTCCGTTGTTTTCAGTTTAACTGGTGTTTCCCTGCGTATGGTTTCAATATTTCTTTTCTGTTGGACTAAACATTTCGTCTGTTTCCTATGGTCTAGGGAGATTTAGGCCTTCCAAGAGACAAACCAGTTGACTCACATCTAGGTATGGTATGGAGTGTGTACCCTGGGGAATGAGTCATTCTTCTTTCCTCTATCAGGACGACTTGCTCCACGCAGTCTGTTCACTGCTTTATTGTGGCAGTGGTGTCTGTACTAGAGCGAAGGGCGGACATGGGTATCCGGCATCATAATGGGGTTGACAAACCACTGGTTGTCTGTCGAGGGAAATTGTCAAACCCTGATTTCAAATCACTCTCGGATGGCGTATAAAACACCAGGTAATCTCTTCGCGTTAAAATTATTCACGGGCTGAAATGAGGTCATGGCTGCACTGGACATTTCAGGCAGATAACCTCATTCAAAAGGCGAATTAGCTGTAGCTGTTGGCTCTCTGTGTCATGGATTGTGGTTCCCTATTCCATTCCACTGTTTTGCGCACCAAACCTTTTGGTTTTGGGCTTTATGGACTTAACCAGTCCCCTCTCTTCCGGCTTGAGAAACCGGTAGGCCTCTTGCTGAGGGAGGAATGACAGTTGGAAGACTAGACGATAAGCAACCCGAACGCTCAAATTCTTCAGAATCTCGTCGAATGCCACAGAACACGGCTCCGAGCGTCCTCACTCATTGGATATCAGAATGCCTTTTTCCGCCTTCTTCAGGTTTCCTACTCTGGAATAGATCGGACGACAGAAACATCATTCTGTTCCCCGAGGCGAACGAACATCGGTGTCCATTGTCTCACACTCGTCTGTGTGCAGCCGCAGAAGTTTATTTCCTACGTTGCGTTGGAGACTCGTTGGCCGTATCATTCGGTGTAGCGTATGTAATGTGTTGTGACTTGATGGATGATCGTGCAACTCTGTATCGGTCCCTTGGTTTCCTGCTCCGCCCGCTATGGTATATCAAAAGGCACGATAGTTCTACACAGCCCTTTATGGAGACAAGGGAAAATTACTACAGCTGTATCTATAGGGTAATCACAGGGTGTTCCACAAGGTCGCGCTAGAATCTCCGTGAGGGGGCGAGAAGCGTCGATTAAAAGGTGCTCGATCCAGATTGGCTGACATTCTGGCCAAGCACCGCACGTCTTCGTTTGGCCCGTGTCCTGCACGTGACACATCTGTCCAAATGATGTGATGTTCAGTTATTAGGGACGGCTGGCCTCCGTACAAAGGCTCACTCATTTGAGTCGCTGAAACTGTGCTGCTCGGATGGATAGCATTAGCATCAGTCAAGGCTGTCCGACTAGCCGAGTTTCCAAGAATAAGGAGGCGCAGAAACTACATATGACGCCAATTTGTCACTTCTGCACCTAATGGTTGTAGTTCCTCTTCAGTCACCCAGCTCCTATGGGAGCGCGCTTTCGCCTTTCACGTCCAATGGTATAAGACAGTGCTGCTCTCTTTCGTAATTCGAGATTATTATGCTCCTTGGGTTTTTTGTTGCCTGTACTAAGCTAGGATCCTCGGGATTTCACTTTTGGACATAGTACGTAGAAGTCGTTGCTTCAATTGATTCATATTTTTTGGAGATCCAAAGCATTCCCAATATCCTAACTAATTCAGCTGCACAACTGGGCATAAGTTTCAAACCTGTAAAGTGTAAAGGGCTACTACAAGATTGTATGGGGTCGAACCTTAACCTCGTGCTTACAGACCAGTCAGTTGGTGTGGCAGGTAAATTTTGTTACCTGTGCAGTCGTATATGTTTCGGTGGGCTGACCGGGGACGAGATCATTTTTTGAATAGGAAAGGCTCCGGCAAGTTTCGCCGACCTATGGCACTGGCATGACGTCAGTTTGTTTGTCAGGCGCAGCGTACACTGCGGCGGTGCGATCTATATTGCCTTATGTATCGGAAGCGTGACCCCTACGCGCAGGGGACGTACGAAAGCTTTCATTGATGTCTCCGGAACAATGACGAAGACTGGTGGGAACATCGGATTAGCTATTCTGAGGTACGACACAATTTTTAGGAAGAGATGGACAAACTAATCACGCTACGTACATTATGGTACTTAGGACATGTACTTTGCACGTCAGAGGACCGTTTACCTCTTGGGGCCCTTTCTGCCCAGTCGTGTCCCAGTCTCTGATCTGGCAACGAAATATTTGAAACATTGGTCTGTCAACTCAGTATGTTTAACAAATACTGCCTACCTGGATGGGGATCTCGGGACTTTACTCATCACCTTAACTCAATCCCGCAGTCAACTGCATCAAAGCCGTCCTCGTTCAGCTGCCTAGAAGACATGGTATGGAGGTAACGAATTTGTACACTCAGAATGGTTTTTAGATGGTCCTTTGAGGACTAATGCTTCGGAATCGTGAACTTGTTAGTCTTTTCATCCATACCTGACAGATGTTACTCTTGGCAAGCAACCGCATTCTCTCTGTTAGCTGCATCAAGGTTTCAAGTGATATTCTCCAATAATTCAATAAACGCGCATCCGTCGATCCATTTGTTCCGCATCGGAGTTGGTCGTATGTCTCATTTTGCAGCTTTTATCCAACATCGTACGTAAACTCATCGTAGAGAACGATATTTGGGACACTTTCAAGGTTGTAATATCCGTGTTTTATCAGTTAACTTGCCGTTCCGAATTTTCGAACACTTTCTGGTGAGACCTCCATATTTCTATGACAGAGCGACCATGTTTTCGCATACAGATGATCTGTTTCCAACATTTTCCCTCAGGATACACCGATGGATGAGACATGAACTTCGACAGAGTAGAGCACTTCAACGAAAATGGAATTCCTTTCACTGTGATAACATCGTCTACGTCAAACGCAGATTCATCACAACACCTTGACCTCCACTGATTGAATCACTCAGTTTCCCGCCATATTGACTTATTTTTTGATGTTACCTTGATCATCTTCTTACTTCCATCTCCGGTCGATCACTCCATTGGACGCCAGTCCCGTGAAGCTTTCGACTCAACACCGGCCTTTCCTGTGAGGTGTGTTAATCAGCGTGCTGCATACAGAAGTCGAGCAGCTGCAGACTGCAAACCTTACCACTAATCTCTGGAAGCATGTCAAGTGTTAAACAAAGTAAACATGTATGATATTCCAATCATCGCGCTTTGAGGTTCTGATTCGCTTGGATGGAGTTGATTGGAGTAATTTATTTTGCCAAATACTTCGTAGTAGGTTTGCTGATGCTTCCCTGTTACTAAGACATGTGGTTAAACATTAGTTGGAAAACCCAAACCTTCAGTGCACCAGCCAGACGATGTATCCTACTGCATCCGTCCATAAACGAACGCCTTTGACTGTAGATTATCTCAGTTATATTCCATGGGCGAACAGATATACCTTGACCTTGCGGGCCCTTCCGACTGGGTCAGTACGGACCAAAGTGCAGGTTATTCCCGGTTGTCAACTGACAGATACACAGGATGGACTCGACCAACAGTAGTTTTTGATAAACATCACCTGTTCTGGATGTTTCACGGTAAAGACCCAAAATTTTGGCCTAATATGCTGAGGATAGGTGGGGAGCAGTCAATGAAGAGTCAATGAGCGAAATTTTCCGTCGTAAAAATTACCAGCTGATAGCACTTTTCAAGAAAAAAGTTGTCTTCCATTAATAACTCCTCAGGGACATATGATCGTGTATCAACTGCTCATGCTTACACGTAACAGTACATATTTTGTATAATTATAATTATTTAGTTCTAACATCTTGGTTGTCCCCGATCAAGTAAAGTTCGTCCTCCTGTCCTGAATTTTTCACATATAATGAGGATGCCTAGTCTGTTTATTTCAATATTTGCCATCCTCTCTTGCAGCATGAGCATAGAAGTGAGTAGCTGTGTTTTGAATCCATTTCCAGAATTGAATATCGCTCACAAAAACGATTGAGTGCCAATATTCGGACGGTTGTGTTCTCTGCCGTTGTTAGGCTGTGTATCAAACCATGCAGAGCCAGAAATCTGGTTAATAAACGACAGTCAGCAGTCCGAACTAGTAATGCCATTCGGGATCGATAGTTTCGTAATTTGCTAGGAAATTGTCGCACGTTGGTGCGGTTTAAGAAATCTGTTTCAGGTTATTTCTTTGGAGAGTTTCAACCAAATTTCTTGATACTGTTAATAAAAATGCGGCAATTTGCCGTCGGAAAACCGCATAACGGGTTTTGCATATGGAGTCCACCTTCAGCCTCAAGTGTCCAGGCGTCATCGTTGACCTGATCCCAACGACTTGCCATCTGTTGTATTCATGAACAGTGGTGAATTCCTCAACTGTTGGTTGTCCAGCCTATTATCGCCTATCCGGACAGACAAACGGAATTAGTCGACAGTCGTTCCCATGTGAAAGTGGTACCCACAGGGGACATCAGTTTGACTCGCTTTGTGGAAAGCTTAAGCAACACGCGGCATTTCAACCATGTATGGCTTGTGTCAACCATATCTTCATAATCCGTCAGTTTTTAGAGCAACGCCATATGTACAAGCGACCCAAATATTGGTGTTTCTCGACTTCAATGGTGATTTTGATTGTGTCGATCGGTCGGCGCTTCCCACTACTTCCGTCAAACATGGGATATCTCGTACGTTTGTTAACATAATCCGATTCTTATATTAACATAATTCCTAGGAACCTTTCTAAAAGCTTCCGTACAAGAAGTTCTGTGCGGTAAGGTCTCCTCCGTCCAGTTTTTCAACTTCATCGTCGATTAATCAATGATGCGGGCATTGGAAGGTCTTCAAAACCCTCGGTGTCCAAATGGTGGTTGGGGGCTACCTTATCGAAGGTGGAGCGCAAGCACTGTTTAATAAACTGATTACCATCATACCCTCATGGTATGCGCCTTGCACCTTCAAATTTCATAACGTGGGGTCTTTGAACATACCGCTTACAATTCAAGGAGAAGCACTGGAGGTTGTGTAGAGTTTCACTTACTTGGTAGTCAGACTGTGTTAGTTCTGAAGGAAGTGTATTTGATGATACCAGCGCGCGAGTTTCAAAGACCCGAATCGTCTCAAGAGTCGAGTGTCCCAGGTCTATACTATTGTGTGGTTGCGAAACATTGCCTCTGCAAACGGATTCCTGCCGAGACGTGCGCTATTTTTCTCTACTATTTCGGAATGGCGGAAGCCTAGAGATAGACAAAACTTGGAAGAAAATGAAGGGCGTTACGAAAAATTTGGGTGTCGGTTGTGCTGTTTGCTTTCCAGGATAGGGCCCACGTGACCATCCCTATGCTTGGGTGTATACATTCAACGGTGTGGCGGCTATTGATTCCTGAGGCATTCATTCTGTCGGTTTCTGTCCAACTTATCTGACTGAGTCTTGGATGCTTGCTGTGGACTAGCCCTAGGTCCCTCTCCTTACTTCGATTTCCCTTTCCATCATAAAGCTTTATTCAAATAAATCGACAGGGCAGTGCAGTACCAGTGTTGCTGTGAATGATGCTGACGGTGAATTGAGGCCTCAGGTCTTTTTTACCGCCGGTGTCTTAGAAGTGTTGCTGGTGTCCGATGTTTTCCACGAGGTCGTAAAAAGTTGGGATCAGTATGACTAGTCTTAAGCAGCAGACACATTTCATCGCACTTAATGATCAGGAAGGCACCTGGATTCGGTTAGGATTGGATTGCTAATTGATTCGAGCCACCTGTCTCGATAAGCACGTGCGCTTAAACAAGTGTATGGTTGGCACGCCCTTGTTAACCGAAGCTGCTAGACATTACAGGATCACGGCAGCAAAGCGTTAGTGTTGAACACTGATATGCTGTCAATGATGATGATGACAGGAGACCTGTCCAGTTAAGGAGCGCCTATTCCTCCATAAACTCTTCATAAGAATTACAGACACCTTACATTGCTACGTTCATCTACCTCTTTGGAAGGGGTATCGTGTCTATCAATGACAAGTAATCAAGCATTTGAGGTCTGCCGCTGTTCATGGTAGCTGACGGAAAGGACGAAGAATGGACGAGTAAAGTGCGTCTGAGGGGGGTTTTTGTCAGTGGTATTTGCAGGAATCGGAGACCGATGTTGAGTATGAAGATTCCACACCAAAGTGTTGAAACTCGCTTTGTAATAGATTTCACCATGGTAAGTCTGGTGAATGCTGATGTCTCTAAATCCCCGTTGTGGAATTCATGCCAGTCGTTTTTTGGTCACACCCGGATCTACTGTGGTTAGCAGCTGACGGCCAACACATCCTCATGCGGCTGGTGAAACCAATACCAAATAAGCAGGCATTCATTCTGCTCCAGACACTAAAAAATGTGATGTTACTAAAGGGTAAGCTAGTACCATTAGAAAAGTTAGTGGACTCGGGTCGTTTTAGGTGCTTGAAGGTTATCTTACTGTTGAAAGGACAGTTTGTGTCTTAATTCCTTACCGTTTACATACGATTAGGTTTCGCGCAATGGAGCATTTTCGTGAATGATGTCCGTAAATGAAATGACTACGGAAGTGAAGCATCAGTGTTGAACACTGATGTCATGCTGTCGATGATGATGAAATGAAATGACAGTTGAATGAGACAAGCCGAGTGTCGACGCACAAATATCTACTCCCAGAAACCAATCTTCTGAAACGAACAATCCTAATTCACAAATTTTTACGAGGTCTTACCGAAATCCTCAAATCCGTACGGTGGGGGGGCAGTTTCGTGGACGGTAATCATGGGTGTAAATGACTGACCCCGGATCGTCGCAATCAGACTGAGGTGAAAAACAAGAGTGAACTCATTGCAGATAATTGGCCTATGACTTGTTGCCACTTGGTGTGCTATCGTTTAGTGACATGCTTGCCAGGACACCTAGTGACCCATTAGCAAGTCATGTTACACCACTATTTGGATCAATCCTATGTTCACTCTTGTGCGAGAATTGAAATAATGGATTTTACAGAAGTGGAGTAAATAGGATTTGTTAGTGTAATCAGTCACCAACAAATGAGTGAATGGCCCCGCAAATGGTCTGTCAGGGGATGAGTTGATTTGCACTGTTAGTGGATGTGGTCCACTGTTGCAAACGGGAAACAGATTAAGAGCGAAATTTACCTTTGTTTCTTCGGTGAGCTACCATCTGGAAACAGTACCGAAGGCCTGTTGGGCACTGGAATCGGCCTTGCGTCGGTCGATGGATTCGTGGGTGTAAAAGTTGTGTGATTCGCCTTTGATCAAATCGGGATATGCTCCCAGAATTGATCAGAATACCAGGTGACCTAAATGAGTTTTTTTGAGTCGATAATTTCATTCATACGCGTTTTCCAAAAATGTATAGGAGTGACTATGTTTCCTTTCCTTGAGGAACAGGTCTCTCTGCAGCAAGCGATTCTTTATACTCTCGAGCTTTTCATCCTCTTAGGAACTGTTGCTTCTTTCTTATTCTGTAAAAACTGGTTCCGCACCATATTTTATGTTGCCTGCATTAGCATGTGCAAAGCACTTTAATTGCCTTAATTGACTTTATTCATTAGTCAGCTATTGATCCCAAAAATTAGAAATATGCTACTATATATGACATAAATTTTTTGCACTTGTTTGAAAACTTGAAAACCAAGGCGTTTGTGGTAAATGATTGCAAAACTCTCCCGAGAGGGACGTATCCCCCTGGTTGACTGTTTATTGTGTCCCCGTAAACGCCCCAAACCAAGGGATTTTGCCGTTCGTCCTTATTCGGACCGTTATCCTATTCTGAGGGCCGGCAGCATAACAAAGCGATGTTGTGTGTACTAAAATTGGGTCTCACGTGACAGTATGACCAGCTGACAATCACGTGATTTCCGCATACATGTTATCCTTGTTTTCTCTAACTTGCGGTCCGATCGGGGTTGTTTTTCCCTTGTATCGATTGACTGTGAGCTTGGTGTCACTATAATTGGAATGACTGAAACGTACGTGGTGTGTTTTACCCGTTATTGATTGATTCTGTGGCGCGCATTCGTCCGTTACCGGGTGGCATGTTGGCATCATCTGGGAGCATAAAATCATACGGACAAATAGGTTCCCTTGTTTTATGTTAGTCCGCTGTTGCTTTCACATTAGTTTTGGAAAAGAAAACTTTTCACGTGAGGAGTAGGAACGTCTCTTGCTGCAAACGGTCTGTACACTGCGCAAAGTCGCGCGATATGCCCTGTGCCACTGCATACTTAGCAGGCACCCTCGACGCTGTTGTTAACCTGAGCGGAAGGTGATAGTATTCCACGTCGTGTTTACTGGCTGGTGTTTAATATCACTTACCCGGTCGTTGTGTCATATGTGATGGGAGATAGCTGACCAGAACTTAGCAAATTCAAAGCTACAGGTCCGAATGATGTTTGTCTTCCGAAAATTTAGTATTTTCAAAATGGCATTCGGGTTCCAGATAAAGCCCACTGTCATTCGGTGCTGGTTTACAACGTTCCGTGAAAGTAGATTATATAGGATGTTTCCCTCTGGGATTCATGATCGCCAGCTGTGGTAATCTATATGATTTTAACTTAACGCAGAAAACCGTTATTAAATTATTCTCAAGGGCTTAGTTGGCAGCCGTCATACTAACAAACTCATTTGTTTGTGACTAATTAACCGTTACTCGTTCGTTCCGCGGGCAGATCTTGCTCAAAAGGTTAGTTTGCCTAACCGTGTACTGGACAACTTACTCTGAGTAAGCGGTAAGCTGCTAATCAAACACTCGACCGAATCGCTTTCTACAGCCCTCGACAGAACAGCGTACTCTTCCACTCGTTCAGTAGTTCATATTGGGAATAGTTCCTTAGTAGCTACCGCCTTGTCAATCGAGATAACATTCCTGATTAGGGATATGTATAATCAGAATCTCTCCCAACTACCCGAAACAAATCAGTGTGTTGATTAGACGCAATAAAATACTGAAATACCTTTTTTACATTGTGTTTAGAACCACTGTGACTGGGTACTTGCAGATTGTTATTAGCTGGATCGAAAACACCGGCCATAACACGTAGATTTTGAAAGAAGTCTGTTTCTATCTTTAAATTGGTGATTGGACTCAAACCTGAAACCTGCAAGATAGAGGCTTGGTACCGTACCTGTCAACTACAGTTAACCTATTGATTCTCGTCGATTTGCACCCAGGATTCGCGGGCTACACTGGTAGTGATACCCAGTAGAGATAAAGCAGGCACAGTGTTTTTTGGCTTGCTAATACAATTCGTCCCAATTGAGTGGACCAACTTTTTCATAGATCCACTGAGATCTCCGTAATTACAACACAGGATTACTGCTTCCAGGAAAGACCATGTTACACTTCGGCGTTTCTCTGCTTACTTGTCACTCGAAAAGCCTGTCAGTATCAAGAGAGGCCGTTTCATCTAGCTCCACAAAGTGTCAGTTTTTGACTAGTCCTTAGAAATTTACAGGGTGAGCGTGGTAAATAGTTCTCAGAAAGGATGAAGCAGCTATGCAATGCTTCATGGCGATTCCACGTAAGTTGAACTTCGTATGAAGCGTGGAAGTTCCCGTGGTTATCATATGCCTGCAAGATCAGAAAATAGCTGGGAGCTTAGCCTGCCTGCGATGGTGTTTTTCCGGACGAAGGGTGACTGCATAAATCTCATCGGGACCGATTGTTCAGAAAACAATACGGTCTCCCTGGCTTCGGCACTGTGGCACTGAAGACATGCGTAATACGCCACTCGGTAGCACCCAGTCTGCCATCAGAATCATGCAAGCTTCATTTGAGGTCTCGGAGATTGGACGCTAATGCGCAGACTATCTGCAGAGTAAAGTTCTACGGGGTTCTTAGCCTTGTCAGCTGGAGCACCTTGCGTCAGCTCGTCGCTTTTTCAAACGACGAAATTATTTAGTCACAAGGCATGCTCCGTTTAATGTTGTAATGAACTGGTTAATTTGTCACGTGTTATAGCGCGTGATTAGATTCATCTCGGTGAAGCTGCACTAAGGCTAACCAATACACGATAAAACCCGGAAATGATCAGTCTTGAAAATGAGCGCTTTTACTAACACTTGAAGACTTACAGCAACTAACCTTGAATAGACGTACTCTGTTTGTTTTCCTGAACAGCTGCATCAAACATGCCTTGAGTCAAGCCTGCTAAAGATAACAGATGATTTTACTCTGGAGTATAACGTGGTCTCTTGAATAAGCGCCCAAATACGTCTTCACTGCCGTAGACGTTATAAATGCACCTTTGAGAACAAGTGCAGACAGTCTGGTTTATCGTGAGCTCCTAGTGCATGGCGATCGTTCTCACTAACGCTTTCCCCTCGATCACACAAATTTCCTGCATGATGTGGTATCCATTCTTTGTTCTTCCCAGCAAGATAGATTATATCACTGAGTACTATTGCTTCTGCACATCTTTTCTCTTTTTACGCAAAAAGTCTTCATTTAACAGTTCTCGCATGTGTAAGCGCATGATCTGGAAATTTCCTTCCATATTTTAGTCGTGCCAGGATTTCTCCAACTCAGGGTGATATGGTGAATTTTTGAATTAATCAATTGTGTTCTAAATGGGTATATTTTCCTGTATGCCTCAGCAATGGAAGGCGTACCTTATTTATAGACAAATTTTTTTCTCCTCCATTTTTTAAATTTACACGTAAATCTTCGTAACACGTTTGAAAAACCTTCCTTGTTCAAACACACTGAATATACAAGCTTTCTCCCTAACTAGGTAAATCTAACATTTTCGTTTGTGTTCATCCTTGATTTAATTTGTCCTCATCTGGCCATACCTGCATGTGCTGAAATAACGAAGGACGTTTAGGTGCACTAGATTTGTTGCGACCCTTTGGATGTAGCTGGATTCAGCTGGCCTGCTTTGAAAAAAATTGAATGTTAAGCCTTCATTTGCTAAGAGAAACAGTGCCGTCGCTTTAAGGAGAAAATTTAAAAAAATACCGGGTTGTTGTCTTAATCCTTTTCATTTGTCAATACCTAGTCGAATTCGGTGCTTCACTGAGAGTTTAACTCGTTCGCACCAAATTCGGTGTGAATATTTTTGGTTTCTCTGTTGGTTGACGACAACCTCTCCGGTTTCGTATGTTTCGCAGCAGTGAATGTTCGTTTGTACTAAAGCTCAAAGCCATGAATATGTAGCTGCACACTTCGTTGTTGTAAGCTTGCTCCCAGTGACGGGGTCGGCCGGGAATTGTTTATTGTTGGGTAGCCATCCGCTGTTCTCGGGAGTTAGGAAGGCTACATATGTTCGACTACTGATGATGATAAAGTAGTTAAGTTCGGTAGCAGGTATACCTGCTCCGGTGTCAATTTTCTCCGAGTTTCAGCGAAGTGGGTATGGTAGGGTTGGTGCTTAGTAGAATGGTTTCCAAAAATTCCCCAGACTAGACCCTAATTCTTCGGAATGCCGGTCTATTGAACGACCTTATTAGAAAGTCCTGTCTACGTTAGTCTAGTGGTTTACCGTAACAAGCACTAAGCACAACTACCTAGTAGAAGGACTGTGAAGCGTGGCTGGAAATGTAGTGGATATTCCTCGTTCCTTCAACTAACTTCGATTAATCTGTCTAGCACATCCATGCTTAATAGATCACGCGACTCGTCTGTTCCGCAAACGCACAAATCACGTGACAAAATCCTGCTCCGCTCGTAACCTAGACCGATAACTAGTCGGTTCCCGTCTTGGTGCGTTGGAACGTTTCTATGTATTGTACGTACGTCAACACAGTTATCAAACACATACACGCGCGCAGGAGGCAGAAAGTCAGCCAAACCCCACGACTTCACGGACAACACATGTAGCGGAGGAAGCCTGTCACGCAGAAACTCCACCAAAATATTCATTGTGTACCATCCACAAGTGGGGAATGTATGGATTGTCTTGGATTCGACTCACCAACCGTAGTAGTAGTTCCTTATACAGTTAGTGGGGCCTTCCAATCAACTTGCTAACAAAATGGGCCGGATTTTCATCACAGGCAGTGCTGGTTTTTGTCGACAGCCCAAGGCTATTCCGAAAGACTCACGGGGTCTTGGCCAAATGTCTACTTTAGGATAGCAAAGAAGCGACCACATATTCGAACGTGTCTACTGTAGATGATATTTATAGATGGTGGAAACCATTGGTGACGTTGCGTCATTTCGTTATTTGCCGGTTCGTCGAGACTGGTAGTTGGATTGCAAATGCTTCGTTATCAATCAAGGAGAAGCCGCACTGACGATATGTCTCTGAAGTCTTCTCGATTGGCGATAAGGTGTTTTTAGTCTGGCTACCAAACTCCCAGAACAGATTAGCAACCATGGTGTGAATCATTTTGTCCCACGCCTCTTCATAAACCGTCACTGATAATAATTTTCACGTGGAATAAACTCACCTGATTACCAGGAGATTCACCTGAAATCGAGCTAAATCTCTAGTTTCTGACGTTCTTAAGCAACTAAATGTGCTGCACATGGCTGCCTCAAGTTCCATTTAGTACGATATTTTAGATATCCCGATACATTTTGTGGGCGTAATACACCACTCATCAGGTTGCTGTAGACGTTTCGACATCACCATTACCCTAATGTCGCACCACATCTATTTCATTTCCAATGGATGTGAGTTATTAGTGAGTTACTTTCTCGAGATTTCTCAAGTCATTTCGTCTTCAGAAACAAGTGGTAGACATTCCAGCGTACCAAAACTGAAAACGAGTATGACTGCATTGAGTTTGGACACATTGATGGTTATGAGAACTCAGTATGTGTAGAAAAACTCATCTTTCTGTGTACTGACAAGTTAGCTCAATAAATGGTATCAAATCATTCAGTGGACAAGCGCGTTTAAGAAATCGATGGCGAAGCAACTGCCGTGATGTTGCACGTTTGCGTGGGTCGACTTCCAGACAGACATCCAGAAAATCGTGAAGGTAAGGGTCTAAACGTTTGGCCTTTGGGGTTGGTCTGGCACTGGTCTGGATAATCAGCATGGCCTGAAAGGAGAATACACATGGAGGAGATCACTTAAAATAGGTGTAGTGATAGCAAAATGGCTTTACTAGGTAAAACTTCCATGCTTAGTCTCATCAAGCAAGAACCCAGGACAATAACCTGCCGATTAGGTGGTAGTTGTTCAATTCAAGCACTCGAACTCTCAAAATTCCCGCACATTTGATTTTAGGAATATAATTCAGTTAGGATTCAGGCATGTCGTTCCATATCAAACGATAGTGTGTACACCGATTGCAAACCAGACGGAACTAACTGACGTGTTTAAATTTCACCTTTGAATCCATCATGATTTATTGCTCACTTGTACATTATATTAGATTCGGATTCCTATGTTCAAGTAAAAAGCATTAGCTGGAATGGACGCTTTCATGAACTCACTAAGAACAGAAAACTGTCTCAAGGTGACGGTCTATATTCCAGAAGTGTCATCCGAAGCTGTTTCTCCAATAGTATGCAACAGTTGAGGAGTTCACTTACCGGAATGTCAGTAGACTTGGGTGGTGGTTGATTCACATAACCATTTGTGCCAGACAAAATATAATGGTGGCTTTGTCCCGTAATCTCCAAACTCTGGATGGAGTTACGCGTCTTAATTCTAAACGTCTGTGAGTGAGTGGCCAGTGCTGAAGAACAGTTCCGCGAATTCCTACTGTCATCAATATTTTGATATTGAAGACAGGCGTACTTTGTTAGTCCAAGCTTAAGAGTGCAGTAATACTAAATGGCAACAAAATAATCATGGAGCTGGTTGTGAACCAATAAAGAGCTATATCTAACGGGTGAACTCTAGGGATGTCATAAAACATCGATAATTCACCTGGAGTTTCCGAACTCTGTCTCTTCAGGATATTCGGTTGTTACGGACTTGAGATGGGCCCTCAAGGCTTTCCTCACAAACTATGAAGCAAACTAATCTTCAGGAAACTCAACCTCCTGTCCTAATGTACGTGATGCGTTCAGCTAACATAAAAGAAGAGGTTATTGATTCGAGTTCCACTCGTTTCTGAATACGTAGGCGGTGAGTATTCTTCCCCACGCCGGGATTTAAATTACGAACCCCTAAGATGCGGGATTAACGTGTTACCACTGATCTGCTAGGTCGCCTGTCACGTCTGGACAGGTGAACGTATTCGCCTTTGAGTCGTTTGATCAGTTTACTTGGTACCTAGGACAGTACTTTTTCTGTCCCTCTAGACCAACTGACTTCTCTGTCAGATCCTTATGGTCAGGTAGCGCCACACACCGGAAGATCCTTTTGGATACCTAGTGGATACAGTCTTGTTGGATTGCTTGTGAGCGGTTTAAAAATTTGCAGTATTGGTATCAGCGTCACTTTTTTGAGGAGTGCTTCTCCTATTGAAGTGAATGCAACATCATACCTTATGAATAAGAATCAGATGAGGGTCTCCAACAATTCCCTGACTTCTGTTTGAAGGGCCTTCGTCGGCGTGATGGCCTTTGTGACTCCATGGAATTTAAATCGATTGGAATTCCAGAACGTGGGAAACCACATAGAATCAGCCCATTTTTACCACATACTCGGTAATTCTGAGATAAGTATCTAAGATACACAGAAGATAAATTGCTAAGTATTCATTCCCATTCCCAGTTTTTACAGATTAAGATATTTTAGGGGAGAATACTTTCCATCTTGGTGGGACCCTGATGGGAATGCAAGGATTGCCCACAAGAAGGTGGCCTCCTTTCATCTCCTTGATTACATGTCCACCCCGGATAGAAATAAGCTACCTGAGTTGTGCGAACCAAATTCTAAAAAGTTCGACTTAATCTAATATGTTTTTGCTCCCTTGGAGCACCTTCTTCGAGCAATTTGAAATAAATATATTGAAATAAGGTAACAGTCCATCAGTGCCCATTCGGTAACGGTGGTTTCAACTCTGTAACATGGGCATCTACTGAATGTCCAAGGAGAAAAGTTTTCTTCAGTTCTGTTCGAGCTGTAGGTACGGTAAAATGCATTTTCTACCGGTTGAATGGAAATAGGATATTGTTTCTGAAAAAAATCGCCTTTGGGAAAACAGTTCAGGGGACATTTTTTCAAAAACTTTCAGCGGGACTGACGAGTGTAGATAAACAGACAAGACCGCTGAGCAAAAATACACACACGACAGGTGGAACAATATGGCAACCATGGTGTGGGGTAGACTGCGCAGATACACTCGTTTGTTCGCACATATTCAGTAAACTAAGCATGTTGTTCGACTAAACATTTGCCACGATGAATTCGTGCTGTCTACTAGTGAGCGTTGAAAAAAGAGATGGTTACACAATTCTAAACCTTTCAACCAAAACAGATCTGACAAGTCGAAACGAATAAATCATTGAAATTTATTAATCAAGTTAAACAAGTGACTTTTTTACGACAGAGCCCATCGATATTTTAGACTGAGCAAAAAACTCCTGATTCTCTCAGATGGTTGAACTTAGTTATCGATCAATCACAAGCACATTACCAATACTCTCATCATGTGGCACTACTCTGCTGTTCCGATGTAATAACCATACTTTGTTGCGTAAACAGTCTTTTGCTCATTCGTCTCCTCCACCATTCTACAATCGCCCAAAGCTGTCAAAAGACTCGAAATAAATGAGTGACTGAAGTGACATGCCTTTCAATATCGCTTGATCGACTGAACGACTGCGCACCGTCATCATCATCCCTATCAGTGGAAAAAACCCCAGATGAGAATACTGGTGACTCAGTTGCTTGAGTTTACTTGCGCAATGCCCTATGATCAGGAGAGAAGAGAAATCGGGCAAGAAGGTGATCTATGGCTAGTCTACCACACAAAAAGTATCCGAGATATCTATTTATATATCTATTTATCTATTTATATATATATATAT